GCAGTTGTTTCTTGTGGGAAACTTGTTCACTGCGAAGCACAAGTACTAAATGAGCTTGATTTTGATTACAATTCGGATGATTTCATATCAACTGCTGTTTATCCCTATAATGATGTCACTTCTAATGTTTACTCTAACCAACGTGAGAAATATGTTTTTAATGAAGTCATATCATTGATAACTTTGGGATATAAAGATCCAACACTATTTCGTGGGTGAGGATAGTCTAAGTCTATGGTTGAAATTCTAGGTAGCAGCGGTTTCATTACACAACCGACATGCTGACTGTAAAAAATCCCAGGCAGCAGGTGAATCTGTTTCGATTTCGGTTGTTAATTCTAATACTAATGAGCACATTGTAGATAATACAGAGTCTTTATCCAATACACTGTCGGACAGACACAGGATAAACTTACGAAGAAGACGTACAATCAATTACAGACAGACTCCAGTTTAAGCTGTGGCGGATGTGTTTGCTTCATTTGAATCTGGTATAGGTCCTACCAAATCCAGATGAACATGGTCGAAACGAGCATCCGGAATTTTGAAAGAGCCTAAGGGACATTTATTGTGTCTGATCACCGTACATTTTTGGCAGCTTACACAGGAGCGTGTCCAATCCCTAAAGTCTTCATTCATACCAGGCCAGCAAAATCGTTCTGCTATGAGCTTGATGGTTGCACGAACACCTGGATGAGAAAGTTTGTGCAACGTATTGATGACATTGCGTCGATAATGTTTCGGCGCGATTGGACGATCCCTACCTGTAGATGTGTCACAAAGTAAGGTTTCCTTACTTCTTCCCATCTGTTTGACGCGTAGCTTGAGGGTTGTTGACGATAACTCATGCTGAAGATCACCGTCGTCTTTTTGAAGCTAGGTGAATTTAAGAAGGTCGATTCCCTGGAAACTGTTCAAGGAAGTTATTCCAGACAAGGCGTCTGGGACTACATTGTTTGCTCCAGAAATGTGTTGAATATCTGAAGCAAACCGCGAAATGTAATCCAATTGTCAAGACTCACGAGGTGAGTACTTGTCTGAAGAAGAGCTTAAAGAGAAGGTAAGCGGTTTATGGTCAGTGGAAAGGGTAACTTCACGGCCTTCGATATAGTATTGAAAATGCCGTACAGCACAATACATAGCTAGGAGTTCCCTACCGAATATGCTTTACCTCAATTCGGTGTCTAGCAACCGTCTAGAAAAAACGCCAAAGGTTACCAGGAGCGATTAACCCATTGTTGTAAGACTCCTCCGATTGCTGATTCGGATGCGTCTACTGCGATGCTAATGAGTGCTTCAGCGTCCTAATGAGCAAGCATTGTTGCTTGAGTGATAATTTCCTTAACTACGGAGAACGCTTTTCGTGCGGTGTCTTCCAAATTGATGGATTTCACATTTCCACGAAGTTGGTCGGTTAGCGGTTTCATAAGTAATGCGCATTTCGGTATAAACTGTTTATAGTAAATTAACAGGCCGTTAAATGTGCGTAATTGCTTGATGGTGGTCGTTTCTGGGTAATCCAGGATGGCCGCCACTTTGGTTTTAAGGAGTCGAATGCCTTGCGCATCTATAGTGTGTCCTAGGAAGTCTAATGATTCAGTTCCGACTTGGCATTTCTGAATGTTTTCAGTAATGCATGTTTTTGTAGTCCGTCGAAAACAAGATCCAGATGCTGGAGATACGATTCTCTGTCCGGACTTGCTATTAGACAGTCGTCAACATACGCATTTACGAAGTTGAGACCTCGAAAAACGTCGTCTATGAACTTTTGGAAGGTTTGTGCAGCGTTTCTTAGACCGAAAAACATTCGCAAAAACTCGTAGAGTCCGAAGGGAGTAATGATAGCTGTTTTCGGAATATCGTCAGTGGCCATAGGGATTTGGTTATAGGCTGTAACCAAGTCGATTTTCGAAAAGACAGTTGTAGCTGTCAAATCGTGAATGTCAGGCAACGAGTAACGATCAGGAATGGTTTTTGTATTCAATTGCCGATAGTCACCAGTTCGACGCCATTCGTAGCTGTCCTTTTTAAGGACCATGTGCAACGGAGATGCCCATGGGCTGTTTGACGGTCTTATGATACCTAAGTCTATCATGTGGTTGAACTCGGTTTTCGCCAACCTTAGCTTTTAGGAAGCTAGTCGACGTACTTTAGATAATAAAGGTGGTCCTGTATTCGTGATGTGATGTGTAACGTTGTTGGTTACACACGGCAATTTCGGTTGCGATCGGTATACCCTGGAATACTTATCGAGGAGTGGCTGATAGAATGGGTCTATCCTGTGCTTAATTGTGACTGGAGATAATCTGCAACCAGAAAAAAAGTTACGCAAACGGATAAATTAGTGTTTTCGTCTACTAGCCTCCATTTGTGCGTACCGATGATTAAATTGTGGTGCTGTAGTAGGTCCATACCAATGATTGGCATGGAAAAATCTTCAACAACGAAAATCCAGTGTATGGGTTTGCGTAAACCCACGTTAAGGTAAATATACCTTTTACAGTATGTGGCGAAGGGCTTTCCGTTTGCCTCCTGTAAGTTTAAAACTGATTCGTGAAGCCGGTTGTTAAAATTTGCAGGAAGAACGCTAACTTCTGCGCCAGTATCAACGAGGTAGCGAACTCTCGTTGTCACATCTGTGACGTATAACAGACGGCTGTGTTCGCCGGCTACGGTTGCCGTAAACGCTTTTCAGCTGGGAAGTTTCCCGAATTGTTTTTCGTGTCGGTTGATTTTGAGTTCGGAGAACTGCAGGTTTTTCCGCAATTTCGAGATTTTCCTTACTGGCTATGATACCAGCACCAGTCGGGGTTATGCGTCTCTTGTGTTCTAAAGACAGATCGCCTACGTAGAGTGCTTCTTTGTGGTGTGTGTGACCGTTTACGGTCGTTACGAAATTTAAGATAACGCTTAAGGGTGTGACATAACTCGGTTATGTCATTCTGGGTCGTTTGAGATTTCATAATTTCTAAGATGCGGTCGACAGATGTAGCCAACTCGCCTACGGTGTTGTTTTGAAACGAGACCAGCACAGCCTGCACCTGTTGAGGAAGTTTTTATAAGAAAATTTCATTGAATAGGCCATCACCGAAGGTTCTTTGGCCGATAACCTCTTTCATTCTTTGCAACATGTCTGTCGCAGAACCATGTTGCAAGTCGATGTTATTAAGGAGTTGGTCAAACCTTTGCCTATAGGATGGATCGTTTCAGTGTTTCGTAGTGTTCCGAAACATCACCAGTAAACACACTAGGTGTTATGTACCTGTTGGATTCACGCGGTAGCGCCTTGACGACTGCGAGGAATTGTGCACGTGTGTCGTTCACGCCGTGCTCGTAGAATTCGGCCTCCGCGCGGCAGAACCAGGCTTCGATATTGTCTGGTCAGGAGGGCATCAGTTAATAATAATAATATATATCTCTGCATGTGCACGTGCAGTTGAAACGAAGGTGGGGACAAAGTCTTAAGCTTAAGTAACTTGGGTGTCTGTTCAGTCATAGTGAAATATCAAGTACGAGAATGAACGAGGGAAAAATATATATATCCAAAACTACGAAAGAATATCACAATATATAAAAAAAATAAAGTAAGGCAATGATATATAAAATCCCAAAAAGGGATAGACTCAAAGTTTGCAATTTGGCGTACTAGATCACATGGGGCTCACCAATGAAAATGCCAAAGGTATTCGGAGTCTGACAACGCTCTAACCAGTAACACCTTCTAATATGAATCGTACCCACCAAGTGAAATCAAAAGTCAGAGGCGAGGATGTTCGAAGATATATTTAATAGGCTATCGACATATCGAGGATCGTCTTATCTAATCTGGCTAACGATTGCAGGGTTTGTTGAGCACGGCGTTCCCACTCGTGATCTGGTGCGGATGTATGACCGAGAGCCTTCAGCTAGGTGAGTCCATTAAAACTAATGTGGTCAGCATCCAATGTTGAAAGTTACAGAGATATTTATTTCGTGGATTTACTTACCACTACATAATAAAGGAAATGTGGGACTAACTCATGAGTCTGACCAATTTTAGATGACTGATAATTGATACCATTTTGAGTGTTATAAGGTTTTTTCTTCGAGTCGAAACGCTTCTAAGGCGTCTCCATCCTTCAAGAAGGCTTTAAATAAAACAGATAGTTGGGATATTAAGTACCTCTCATTTAGCACCATCAAATACAGAAGAGTAGGGGTAAAAAACCATGATTCGTAGACCTGATAAACCCTTCACGATTCCCTCACTAATCGTTCCACTGTGAAAAGGACATGAATAGTACTCTTCGTGATGCGCTCGATATCCAGTGAAGTTCGAGGTTCAGAATGACCTTGGATTTGAGAGGCATTTTAATATCTGTCTTTCGAATGAGTTCCAAAAGGAGTTCGGTAGGTTAGTAAGCAATAAACTCTTAAAAATCACACGCATGATAGAACGTTTCCCAAAAGAAAACTGTCGAAAAAAAGCCGCGCAAACAGTCTTCTGAAGATAAGGGGCAGGAGTCTCCCAAAGTAACAATCATCGAATTTTAATCATGATTTAGACTCAAAACTCAGACTGGTGTACTAGATATCCTGGTTCTTCACCTGACCTAGCAAACCCTCTTTCAACCAAATGGAATTTTAAGATAGTAACCTGGAATGTCAACGGGATACGGGCTGTCATTAAAGTAATGATGTGGCCCAATTCTTGAACATTTCTAGAATAATGGTATGGAGTATATCAAAAAAGAAAATGCAGACATATTTTGCATACAAGAGACTAAGTGCCCTCTGCATAAAATTCCATCTGAAGCCAAAGTTCCATCGTACCAATCATTTTGGTCGTCTGCCGACAAGGCCGGATATGCGGGAACAGCTTTATTTTCGAAAATCTCTCCGATAAAAGTGACGTATGGTATAGGTAAGAAATTGCATGACGAGGAGGGGCGTGTTATTACTGCGGAATACGACAAATTTTACCTAGTCACTGCTTGTAAGTGCAATTTACTCTTACTTAAATGATAGATGTGCCAAACTCAGGACAGGGGTTGGTTCGTCTACCATATCGTGAAAAGGAATGGGATCCCGATTTCCTTGAATACCTGCGCAAACTTGATTCTACAAAACCTGTCATCGTGTGTGGTGACCTTAACGTAGCTCACGAGGAGATCGGTAAGTTATTCAGTCTATTTGAGATACATGCTGTTACTTTTCCCCTAAATTGCAGTTTTCATGTTTCTATCCCGCGAAAGTATCATTTATTTTTATGTGGTGCTAATCATAAAGTTCTATTAAATCTAGAGTTTCTCACAAGTAAACGTAATAAGTGGATACTTAGTGAGTTCCTACTTACTGCTCCCTCTCGGGGAAGGAGGTTGTTTTTTACGGAACTGTGGGGACGAGATGTGATTATCCGGCGCTTTAATCGGGTTGATGGGTACGGAGGATTCACATAGGGGAGTTGAAAAACCCTAATCCCAAACTAACGGCGCACATGAGCTCCAAGATGCTGAGGGAACAAATGATGTAATCTATTCTTGGACACTGGATACTAAGAGGTTGCATATTCTAATGTTGTTCCACCCTCTTGTTGAGTGGCTACGTAAAAAGACCACCAGCTTTGGGCTGGGCACCTGGGCAGTCCACACATAAATGTAATGCTGATCACAGTAAATGTCACTCTTGCCTCAAATACCATCCTCACAAATTATTTTCTTAATTATTTGGTAACATTCATCTTGCATTGTGCTACTTGTCTATTCTCTTTTATTCTCTAACTAATACAGCAACTCACTTATGGTGGATATTCTGTCCTATCTAAACGATCTCAAGTCACTAACTGGTCAAAAGTTGTATGCTACCTCTGAATACGAATTCGCAACCAGTCTTTCTAAGTCCGTGTGTAACATTCAAACTGACCTCCAGCATTCGCATACTAATGTGGTTCGGACAGCAAATAGGCTTGCCCGTCTTTAGAAAGTCTGGAATTCGACTTTTGTTGCCGGAGTCCCGTATTCCAGACTCTAGGAACTACTACAAATTCGGGGTGCTCGTTTCACTCGTTTATCCGGAGACCTCGTGACATCTTCCGGTTTTGCTGGTGTTGGTGTTTCACTAAGTGCTAGATCTGATGCAATGCTAATCGATTGGATCACCATTAACAGTCGGTTATGTGCTATAAGGTTAGAAAGTTCTCAAAATCATGAGAAATTGGTGTAACGATATTTTTCCGTTATCTCCGCCTACGCCCAACAGACTGCGACCCGGATGCAATCAAGGATGAATTTTACCACCATTTATGTGTTCTACAGTAAGTACGTTTGACAGATATTGTGGTACTAGCCGAAGACTTGAATCCACAAGTCGGGCATCTGGGAATGGCGGAGAGTCGTTTGTGTGGCCAATTGGGACTCATTGGTTTCAGGTCAGATAACAGTGACAGCCTATTGAAACTGTGCTCAGACTACAACCTGTTTCTGGCTAACACTATCTGCCCTGTCATCACCGATGTGCTACACGGCATCCTACCTCTGCATCTGAAGCCTGAACGAGGATTGATCACATCTCAGTCAGCTGCCGCTGACGTGGTTGTGTACAAGACTTCTGCTCCTTCTAAAGTGCTTATCTGGACTCTGATATGTATTTGTTTGCACTAATCTTATCTTACGTTTCAGTGGCCAACAAATTCATCGTCCTAAACAGATCGATGTCAGCGAATCGGTTGCAGCTTCTGTTGCAACTTAATTTCAGGCAGAGCTAGGTCAGTCAGTCAGTAACAACGTAGAACTTCGTACGTACGTACATCAGTTCGAGTTGCCACACCACATTAGCACAGAGATGCAGTTGTCGATTCAAATCCCGTAGTGGTAGAGGTAGCAAGAGTATAAGCAGTAATCGGGAAGATTAGGGTTTGGAGATGTTATTTAAAGAGTATAATCCAGTGAAATAAATTTGGAAAGAGGAAAAAAGGGACATGAAGGATTCAGAAGATTAGAATTTGGGAGAACACAGAGAGTGGATGCACCTGCGCCATTGCAAACGATTTTGAGCCATGTCATTCAGGGTCTCTAACCATCGGTTGCTATCATCTCGCGGTCCCCAACCAGGTAGTCTACACCTACCAACATGACTCAGTTCACTTGTCAGTGACTTCATGGACTTGTGCCATGTTTTGGTTTGGCCGCCCCTAGCTTTCTTCCAACCTACTCCTATACCACTGAACATAGCACGTCGAGGCAGTCGGTCGTTGGGCATACGTAACACGTGTCCCAGCCATCTCAACTGATGAAGTTTCACTACTTCATCAATTGATTTGCCATCCTTACCTAGTACCCGTTTCCTAACAACTGTGTTACTTACTCGATGGTCCCATGATATACGAGCAATATTTCGAAGACACCTATGATCAAATACTAGTAACCTACGAATATCCTCTACTCTTACCGGCCATGTTTCACTGCCATAAAGTAGGACGGAACGAACTGCTGCGCAGTAAACACGTCCTTTGGTTGATAGACGGATATCTCGCCTACGCCATAAATGACGCAAGTTGGCAAAAGCTAGTCGAGCCTTCTGTATCCGTGCTGAGATTTCGTCACACACTAAACCACAAGGGCTGATGAGACTTCCAAGATAAGTGAAGCGGTCGACACACTCAACTACTTCACTCCCTATCACTAGTTCGGGTGTCGATGTAACCCAATCCTGAAGCAACATTTTGCATTTCGAGGGAGAGAATCGCATCCCGAACATGCTTGCATTGTTGCTTAGAGTGGTCAGAAGACTCTGCATTTTGTCAGCGTCTTCACCAAATAAAACTATGTCATCAGCATATTCTAAGTCAACAAGTGAACCTCCTGGTAGAAGTTCAACCCCTGGAAATTTAGATGAGGAGAGTGTTATCTCTAAAAGTACGTCGACCACAAAGTTGAACAAGAATGGGGAGAGTGGACAGCCCTGACGAACACCACTTGAGGTAATCAATTCTGATGACAGTTCGCCATAAGCTCTCACTCTACCAGTTGTGTTCGAGTAGAGAGCCTTTATAAGGTTAATGTACTTCTTTGGTACTCCTTTCAGTGACAAACACTGCCATAGAACCTCACGATCAACAGAGTCGAATGCCGCCTTAAGGTCGAGAAATACTACCATTGTGGGGCGTCTGAATGTGTGTCTGTGTTCTAGAACCTGACGTAGTGTGAATATCTGATCTATACAACCACGTCCAGGTCGAAAACCGGCCTGGTTTTCTCTAATCTGCTCTTCACGAGCTTTGATTAGGCGTCGAAGTATTATTGAAGCTAATATTTTAGACACTATATTAGTCAAACTGATTCCTCTGTGATTGTCACAAGAGGACTTTTGTCCTTTCTTATAGACTGGCACAATCAGTGATTGAGACCAGTCAGATGGGATTACGTCCAGTTCCCAAATTCTACCTAAGACCTCGGTTAATCTCATTGCTAATACTGGACCACCATCCTTAAAAATCTCAGGAGTAAACCTGTCAGGGCCTGCTGCTCTCCCTCGTTTCAGATTTCCTATGGCTTTTTCAACTTCGTAAAGGGACGGAGGACCTACATTAACTTGCCATTCAGGTTGACTAGAGATCGTGGGAAACCGAAGTGTGGCTGAAGGCCAGTTGAACTGATCCCTAAAGTGTTCTGCCCATCGATCCAATCTCCTGGATTGAGAATGAATAATATGTCCATCTTTCTCTGAGATTGTTTCGCTAACGGTCGGGTTCCTAATTCCGGTTTCCTTAACGAGTCTGAACAATTGTCTGCTATTACCTATTGCCGCTGCCTTTTCCATCTCTCTTGCTTTCGCTACCCACCACTGTTCGCGATCATTGCGTAGACTTCTTGTCAGCTTGCGCTTAAGCTGACTCCGCTCTTCATTATGTTCAGAGCCAGGTGGAATGAGTTTCCGAGCATCTATCAGTGCGATAGATGCTGCTGAGATCCAGTGTTGCTCCCTAACCTTCTGGTTTACCTTACTAGCAGATATCACTGCTGTTTCCACAGCTTTTCGGATATCATTCCATGCTGCATCGGGGTGGGCATCACATACATGGCTGCCTAACTGTTTTCCTAGTTGTTCCTGAAATATACTCTTAGCTTGACTATCATTAAGTAGGCCCTAAGAGGTTTCCTTGCAGCGTCTTTCCTACGTCCAGTAAGACGCAAGCAAATACGCGCTCGCACTAGAGCATGATCTGAATCTAGGCATGTGCTCCAGAATGAGCGACAGTCTTCTATCGAGCCCCTCCATCGGTGGCTGATAGCGATGTGATCTATTTGGGTCCAACGTTGGGACGAATTAGGGGGTCGCCATGTTAAAAGATGTTTTTCCTTATGCTTAAAGTTAGTATTTGCAAGGAACAGGCGGTTATCTGAGCATAGCTGCAACAGACGGTCGCCATTATCTGTTCTTTGAGCCACGACACCATAAGATCCACCTAGGTGTCTTTCCCTATCGCTTAGTTTACCTACTTGAGCATTAAAGTCACCGGCCACTATTACTACATCCGAGCGCCTAGCTTTTCGGAGAAGGTCCGAAAGCTTTCTGTAAAACTCATCTTTTACATCATCTGAGCTGCAGTCAGTGGGAGAATAGGCAGAGACGACGAAGAGGCAACGACGAGTGTCCCTATCTTTCCGGATTCTTACTGTTCCGTTCAGTCGGACAGCGCACAAACGACTGTCTACTGGGATCCACTCTAAGAGAGCTAGTTCTGCCCTAGGACTCAATGCTATACCTACGCCGGCGAGGCCACGGGAAGCAGAATCAGGGCTTCCAGATACACGAAGCGTAAATCGAGTCGGTTCTTTATTTTGGCATGGTGAGGTCAAATGAATGACGCTACTTGGATCCTGTATGCGCGTTTCGGAGACGCAGCACACATCGATGGCGCGAGATTCTAAAGTTTTAGCTAAGGAAGCCTGCTGTCCTATTTGGCAAAGTGTTCGTACGTTAAAAGCTCCTACGTGTAGTTTAGAGCGTGGTTTCAGGAGACCAGGAATGGCGTTCCACGTACTCAAATCGTTTGCCCTAGCGGTGCGAGGTGATAAAGAGACGTGAGGAGGGTTAGTCATGGAGATAAGAGAGGTATTAGGAGGTGTAGGAAGGATTTGAATGTGACCACCTTGGTCTCTTGTGCTGTTACGGGT